GCATATATAGTTAAAGAGTAGAGTAACATGATCACTACGACCCAGTGGTGTGCTTGTAACTAACCCGTCAAACATGAGTTCTTCGTTAGTTAGCACAAGATCCAGTATCGACGGCTTGTTAGCAGTTCGAAATCTGGTGGGAGAGGTTACGTGGTTGTACAGAGGGTGGCTAGCAATTAGCTCTTGCAAACAGGCTTTGAAATGCACAACGTCGGTTGCCAGTGTTTCCATGTCGTACAAGTTTAAGTCCCCAGCGTGTTCCTACATATCAAAGATTTCTTCAATTCGACACACCGATGTGTTCTTCGGAACTGTGTGCAGGAAGTGTGCACGGAGCGCTTTAAGCTCCTAGCCGGGGCAGAGAGAAGACTTAGTGCGATCGGTAGCCGCCGTTCAATATACAATGGAACAATGGTGTTATACGGGTAAAAGAAGTCACAAGTTAACATCTCCCGAAGTAAGGTCGAGGTTAGGCCTCAAAATATAAAAAAATTTTGTAGCAATATTCGGTTTACACCGTTGAACGCACTGAGGTATGCGTAGTACCAACAGTTAATCCAAGGCAACTCCATAAGGAATGCCTGTAAATTGGATGTTGGTGCAATTCGTGTCTCCACTTGGTGTACACATACAGGAGGTTGAAAAGCGGAAAGAAAGCTGGGACCTCGCCACCAGGGAAATCGCTTACAAACACTTGCGTTTATCCATGGGCAATGAGTCCTGTAAGATGGTGCAGCGAAAGCAGTGCACGATCAAATCAGGCTTTCCACTCTGCTGGCGTGGGTGCACATATGACAGGCTCCGGCAGGGCTTTGCACGAGATGCAAACGCGTACGGAAAATTATTCCGACGGTATTCCAAACAACTGTATTGCTCTGCAAGCTTGAGATGCCTGCCTCTCAAAGTACAGTTTTGACTGAGCTCTAGAATGTTGCGGCACGTGTGTTTGGGATCTCTCAAATCTGCTACGTCAAAATGTGGTCCCCGCGCAATTGCCGACACTGTCCGCTGAAGACCCCGTGTAATTGAACCCAATGTTTATTCGGTAAATAATGAAGACCCCAGAAATTCGTGGTTGTCCGGTGTTGGGCTATCTCTAAGGCGATGAGAAATCTCCTCAGCCATGGCTGCCTGCTCTGTATTGCTTATTCCACATGTATCCGTATATATGAGCCGAGAAGTTGTGGAAAAATCGAATGGTGATGTCCACCGAATGCATGTTTCAGGAGGCTCACGTTTTGGGTGCCTCCTGTTGACATCGCTTCAACCTGATTCGAATATCGATTTTTGCTCTGGACCAAAAACCATTTCCTTCTCGCAAGAAGAAGCTCCTAGTTGCTATGTTTGTAGGAGTACACCAACCTGTGCCGTAAGTGCAGCATGCTACATTTGTCCAGCTTGATTCGAAGTAGATTCTGTATTGACCACGCGTATACCCTATCCAGGTCAGTTTGTAGTACTGTGATATCATCTGGTAGTTAAACTCCCTCCATAACTTCTACTCATCGGCATAAAGCAAGCAGTTCGAGCTTATGAGGCGTGTGATATCGTTAAGGTACATCAAAAATAACCGCAGTCTAATTACCGATCCCTGTGGTACTCCGCATTCAACTTGGATTGGATCTGACAGAGATTCACGCACTCGTAAATCCAAGTGCCTGTGCGGACAAAAGTGTCTGATCCATCCTAGGAGAGGATCACCAATACCAATGGTCTGGAATCTGAAGAGCAGAATGTTATGGTCTACCGGTCGAACGCCTTTGAGAAGTCG